CAAATTTAATTCCATTCCCCATTCTACACACCACTCCCGCACGTTTTCAATGTTTTTCTCGAGTTCGTTCTGATCATTAGTACATGTGACTTCCCGAAACAAAACACAGTCGTCAGCAAACAATCGAATTTAAACAGTAGGGTCAACAACAGTTACTAAATCATTAATATACAACAAAAAAAAGCAATGGTCCCAAAACAATACCTTGTGGAACCCCAGAGGTGACAGGAAGACACCGAGATTCTTCTTCGTTAATTTTTACAAGCTGTTGGCGGTTGGATAGGTAGGCTGCAATCCAGGAAACAAAAATATCCGGAATGTGAATGTTTTTAAGTTTTGCTATTAGTTTGTCGTGTGGTACCTTGTCAAAAGCTTTTTTGAAATCTAAAAATATAGCATCAATTTGGCCGTTATTGTCAAGACACGCTGCGAACGAATGAATTATTGTCATCAATTGGGTTGCCGTGGAATAACCTTTTCTAAAACCATGTTGAAAATTTGTTAGTACGGCATTTTCGTCTAGAAATTCAAAAATCTGTTTGGAAATAATATGTTCAATGATCTTGCATCATTGAGACGTTAAAGATATCGGACGGTAATTTTGAAAGCTGGACCGGTCACCTTTTTTTAAAAACGGGAACAATCAGAGCCATCCTCCAGTCACTCAGCAGCTTCCCAGTGGACAAAGAAGTACGAAATATTACTACAAGAAACTTAGCAAGTATTTCGGCATATCTGCGTAAAAAGGCGTTTGGAATCTGGTCTGCACCACATGAAGACTTGGTTTTCAAATTTAACAGCATAGATAGTACACCAGAGTAAGATACAAAGTCAGCGTCATAAATGCCAGGATCTGATATTAACAGTGGATACGTTTGCGCAGGAGAAAACACACTGTGAAAATAATGATTAAAATATTTAGCAATAATTGCAGGGTCAGAAACGAGGTCCCCATCGATTTTCATTTCCCTTACAGGCTGCCTTTTATCAGTAATGTAATGCCAAAACTTATCAGGATCATTTTTTATGAAGTTTGGTAGGAGGGTTTGAAAGTAGTGGTCCTTTGAGCAGCGCACTGCGTTTTGCAAAGAATTTTTAATCTCAGTGATAACGTCAGACTGTGCCTTCTTCTTTCTTAATCTTTTAAGTTTGCGTTTCAAGTGAACAATTTTGCGTGTTATCCAGGGTGTACACTTGTGAATTTTTTTGCGCTTGCTCGGTATAAAGTTGTCAAGGCAGTAATGGCACATGTCTTTGAACCGGCCCCACAGGTTGCAAACGTCATCACCATCAAAATTAGCAAGAGATATTTCTAGATGGTCAAGTACAGATTTGTCATTAGCTCGTGAGTAATCTTTGAAGCGCCGTGTCGTCGACCTATCTTGGGAGCTTAACTTGAGAAGGGGTAAAGTAACGCATACTAAGTGGTGGTCAGATATCCCGGGTTCTATTGTAACAGAGTATCGGTCAAAATTACGGGGAATAAATACAAGATCCAGAAGGGAACTACAAGGGCCCTGTACACGAGTTGGTTCGTTTACTACTTGTATTAGGTTATGTGTAAGCATGATATCAAACACTATGTTTGTGTGTTTCAAAAACTCTGAACCAGCCATCAATCGTTTCCAGTCAATCCCTGGAAGGTTAAAGTCCCCAATCAGAAGAACTTTGCTGTTCACATATTTCGACATGTGCTCTCGAAGTCTAGTTAGATATTCTGATGGGGAATCAGGAGGCCTGTAAAGCGCGTAAAAAATGAAAGAGTACCCCCAGCACAAAACCTTCATGCACAGGCATTCAAGTTCGTCGATATCAGGCAACAAAACGACCCGTATGTTGTTCTTCAAAAGAACACCCACGCCCCCGCCTCTGGAAGCCCTGTCTTTACGTAAGATCTGATAGGATGCGGGAAAGACGCTGTCATCTGATATGTCGCTTTGGAGCCAAGTTTCAGTCACTACGACAACGTGCGGGTCATTTCGAAGCAAGATAATTTCAAGCTGGTCAGTTTTATTTATTAGACTACGAGCATTCAGGTTCAGCAGGCGCAGTTGCTTTTCTTTGGTTGGGTCCGCATTACTGTCAGGGGTGTTCCTGGTTTTTCGGTTGATTGGCCTTTTGGAAGCATTTTTGATCACGATGCGTTGTTTAATGCCTGAGCCTGTTGCCTCGTCTGTGGACGATTGGGCTTTCGTTCGTCGTTTTTTCGTAGAAGTAGGCGTTCATTTTTTTCGGTATCCCAAGTGTAAACGTTGCTATTGATGAATAGTTTGTCGAAAACTAGCGACACTTTCTCTTTTTTGTCGCGTTTTAGTTTCGAAATTGCCCACAGTTTACGTCTGACATCTCGCACTCTACGGGAGAAATCTTCACCAATGGAGAAATCTGAACCTTTTAGCTTAGATCCTTGCTTAAGAATTGAGATCTTGTCGTGTGCGTCTTGCAGCTTAAAAATAACTGGTCTAATCTTGTTTGGTGCAGGCCTACCTATTCGATGGATGCGCTCAATCCTAATTGGTTCAAGCTCCAACAAGTCTTGAATTACTTCTTTGTTGACAACATGTTCAAGTGTGTCACTGGTCTCGTTGTCCCTTTCCGGTAAGCCGTACACTATTAGGTTTGATCTTCTACTATGGTTTTCGAGCTGATCAACCTGCTTTTCTAGTTGATGAATTACGGTGCTCATAGAAGCTATTTGAGTTTGGCAAGCAGCAATTTTGTTCTCTAAAATAGTCAAGGCGTCCAATTTTTTCTCTATATCGGTTAGTCGCTTTTCTTTTATGTCCTTTATGTCAGTAGCTATGCTCTCTAGTTGTTTAGCAATTTTAGCCAAATCAGGACCAGGATTGGTCTCAATGTCTCCGCCCAGAAGGAGCAGTTGTCGCAACAAGCCAGAAACATCATAAAACACACCAGAAGACCATGGGCACGGCAGCACAAGTAAGAACGGGTCGCCTGAGCGAAAGCATTTTCCGTAACGCCTGCTCACCTGTAGAAGGAAGACAAACGGATCTTGAGACCACCACATGCTGGCTGTGCCGCCGTGCCCAGTGGCCGAGGAGTGAACAGGACGCTCATATATAGCCGGAATCTGCAACGGCGCCACCTGGACGACTTCTGGTATCAGTGATGCCCACGTGGCTGATATCTGTAGAGGCAGGTGGTCCGGGTGTGCAGTTGATGACCGGCAAGGAAAGATGAGGCTGGTCGCAGGGTGCGGCGCATGCGCATCTCCCACTCGCAGATCGAAAGGTTCGGCAAAAAGGGGGCCCAGCAATCCAAGGAACTGTAGAAGGAAGACAAACGGATTTTGAGACTACCGCATACTGGCTGTGCCGCCGTGCCCAGTGGCCGAGGAGTAAACAGGACGCTCATATATAGCCGGAATCTGCAACGGCGCCACCTGGACGGCTTCTGGTATCAGTGATGCCCACGTGGCTGATATCTGTAGAGGCAGGTGGTCCGGGTGTGCAGTTGATGACCGGCAAGGAAAGATGAGGCTGGTCGCAGGGTGCGGCGCATGCGCATCTCCCACTCGCAGATCGAAAGGTTCGGCAAAAAGGGGGCCCAGCAATCCAAGGAACTGTAGAAGGAAGACAAACGGATTTTGAGACCACCGCATACTGGCTGTGCCGCCGTGCCCAGATTGTGCCCAGAATATGGTTCAGATTAAATTGAGGACGACACAGCGAGCAATGGAAAGAAAAATGGTAGGTGTAACCTTTAGAGACAAGAAGAGAGCAGAGTGGATTAGGGAACAAATGGGGGTTAAGGATATCATAGCTGAAATCAAGAAGAAATGGTCATGGACAGGACATGTAGTGCGTAGACAGGGTAACCGCTGGTCATTAAGGGTAACTAACTGGATTCCCAGAGAAGGCAAGCGGGTTAGGGGGAGACAAAAGGTTAGGTGGGCAGATGAGATTAAGAAGTTTGCGGGTATAAATTGGCAGCAGCAAGCACAGGACCGGGTTAACTGGCGGAACATGGGAGAGGCCTTTGTCCTGCAGTGGACGTAGTCAGGCTGATGATGATGATAATGACAGTGGCAAACGAATAAGGACAAGAGTGGTGGCTTAAGGCTGAAAAAATCATGAACTTGTTCATGGTCCTCGCTTGAAATAATGTTTCAGGCTTTTAAGGAGAGTGCGACATGCAGCAAGTTCGAAAACTTTGAAGTTGCCAGTGTGGGTGGAGACACCGCAGAGAGTGGAGACACCTTTTGACAATGAAGAGCATTCCGCAATCACTGCCTTGGATACAATAGGTGCTAGCTCACACTCTTATGCTGCGAACCACCCAACAAAACAAATGGGAGAACCCCTGCTTTTTGTAGGTCATTTCGTAGAGCAGTAGATGTATTCATTGTATATTGGAAGTATTTTATTGCTGTCGGTTCGGGCTCCTCTAATAACAAGAGTATGTTTTTTTTTTGTGCACTTTCCTTAATTTACATTTGCATCCCATTTACTACATATCAGCTAAAAACTAAGCTTTTCATAGATTCGTTAGAATGTGTCTAACAGAGAAAAAAATCCTCTCAAACTATTCTCCTCATTTTAGAAACATGTAGAAAAAGACAGTGTCTTCCAGCCAAACATTTTCAAGGACTGTTGTCAGGCGTGTTCATACAACTTGTTAATAACCATGCTTCGTAGCAGTTTTACATAACAATATTGTTTTGGATGTTTACACTCATACCTCATTATAATGAAGTTACATTTTACACAAAAAGAAGTTGTTCATATTCTGAAATGTGTTATAAAGACAAATTTTGAACATTTCAGCTTTTGCAAGATTATTGTACTTGGTTTTCACTAATATTTGGTTGTTTCCATCTTCGTAGGTGCGAGTGTACATACATATTTTCCTTTGCCCAATGTATCTTGCAGCGTCCGCTTCGAGCTGCAGTATTTATCACTGTTGCAGCAGCATTGTGACAATGTGCTTCTTTCCTAGGTGTGCATGTTTATCATGGGTGATGTTTTCTATTGGTGCAGGCTCTGGGGACAAGCGGCGAGACTTGGCTCATGTGCTAGACTTTGTGTCCCAGTTGAAGCACCTGGAGGTGTTGGCTGAGCCGGGCTGCCTCGGCTTTAGCAATGTGCGACCCAGCAGCCTGCCCTTTGATTTGGCACCCTTCCGGAGCCTGCGGACACTGCGGGTGAGACCACCTGTGTCTAGATGATCTCTGGAGCACTTCCGAAAGATTGGAATGGGAGAGGCGAATGACCGAGGTAGCCTGAGAAACGACTTCATCTAACAGAGGGGCAAACAATAATCAAGAACTAAATTCACTCAAGAACAAACAATTACACAATAAATAGCCTGATATAAACTAAAACCAAAACTAACAATAAATCGCATTAGGGCTTACTCATCCCCTGAGCCAGCCTATTTTGCGGCTCTCTTACGGTCGCGTGCTTATCGAATGTCTTGCGATTCGTTATGTCACCGTAAAACTACGACAAAGCGTCCTGTTGCTGAAGCCCTTGCAGTGGTCTCACGGTTGCCTCTGATCAGCCTCCGTTGAGTGAGCTGCTTGGTTCGCTTCCTCGTAACAAGGTCGCCGTCACGTTCGTCGTCGGACTTGAAAGGTTAGCCCTAGCTCTACAGGCCAAGCAGCACTCCTGGCATTGCAGAGTGGAGGTCTGCCGTAAAATCCTGAAGAGAAAGTGCTGCTGGCTGCCTTCAAATCCGAGTGCTGCTGCTTGCTGCAAGTGCGACACTGACTTCTCCCACATTCTACCTCCGGCATGCTACCGAACAATGACTGCTTCTCCTCCGGGGTTTTACCTCACGGATCGAGTCCTAGGCCAGTAGTCTTTCTGTGACCAATTGCGCGCGTGGACGTGGCAGCGGCGCAATACCATCATACATTTTGCCATGTGCCTCGTGTCATGTTTACTCATTACAACCTGTTATGACTGCACACAAACCTGCCTGCTGTTCTTTCTATTTCTGCGAAGAGGTCGACACATGACCTTGACAAAGGTCATGTGTAATATTGTTATTTCTGTAATATTGTCATTGGGTCATGCAGAGGTGGATCTAGCCACTCATTTTAGGGAGGGGGTAGTTACCTGAAGTAACATGGGAGAGGAGGGCGTGGTCATTGCTTTTTGTTTTTACTAGCAGAAAAAACTGCTTCATAGCATAAATAGTTTTAATGTGTGCTCACAGTGGTTTCACCCATCGTGAGTTGGACTACAAGCATTAAAGTGAAGGGGGGTGTGCTGACAGAGATTTTGAGGGCGAGATTGCCCCTACCCCCTGCCCCTCTGGATCTGACACTGGGGTCATGACATTTAACTATGGCAGCAGTCGATGTTTTGCAGATTAAACTTGCAGGAGTCAGTGTTTTGAAGACTAACATTTTATTTAGTCGTGCCTCCGCACCAAAAATAAAACGTCGCTCTACAAGCCATACACACTGTCGATTGATATTGGTGAACAGAACATCAGCCATTGATAACCTGCCAAGCGGCAAAGTGCGTGTGCATTTATATTTTTTTATCGCTTCTTATATTTTGCGTTTTCATAGCAAACTTTCAGTTAGTATGTGCATATGCTGTTTGTTTTTTCTTGTGCCAAAATTTTTTGGGCAGTTTAGCTCAGAATGCCTAATGGTCTGTTTACAATAGTGGAAGCTTGGGCTAGGCAAGTTTCTTCAGTGCATGAACATAGGAAAAAAGGACAGAGTAGACAAAAGAGTGCTGACTTACAACTAAGTTTATTTCTTTATTTCACAGATTGGCATAATATATGGGTCGAATAGGACGATACAGAACAAGAATATAAGACAAGCCCAATCAATTTTTCAGTATCAAAGCATGGGACAAGTGCTCGATTGCCCAAAAGCCCAACCAGTTAATCACGTTTTAACTGTGATAAGGCAACAGACAGTTAGCTTATGCAGTTCTCACCCAGTAAGTGCATTTTTTCTGCTTCAATAATTTCACGGGTAAGCTGTTTTTATGCCTTGCCATTATAGTGCACTGATCGAAGAGGGTGGTGCAACCGCAGTCACGGCAATGGATGCCAAGGGGCCCTTGATTGATTGATTTGTGGGGTTCAACGTCCCAAAACCACCATTTGATTATGAGAGATGCCGTAGTGGAGGGCTCCGGAAATTTTGACCACCTGGGGTTCTTTAACATGCACGCAAATCTGAGTACACAGGCCTACAACATTTCCGCCTCCATCGGAAATGCCAAGGGGCCCTTGTACCACACTGTGCACATTAATTCAGTGCTTTCAGAGACTGCCATTTATGCACCTGCCAATTTAGCCGACAAGGGCTTTTTTGGTTTGTCGGTTCTCTGCATGACAGTCACCAGCTTTTCTGCCACCGAAACAAGCACATGTAACCAGCTTTTGTGTGATGCTGTACTTGTAGAGCAAAGCTGTGATGCACCGCAGGGGGCGTTATGCAGAGCCGACGAACCGGAAAAGGGTAGCGGTGTCAGAAGAGTTGGCCGGTTGTACTACCATATGTGCACGTCTCACACAAGTTAAAAAATATTGGCCTGGTCGCCAGTGTTCAGGTGTTTTTTTTCTGCACCTGGAAAATTTCGGAGACTATGCAAGTACCTTGCACAAACTTTGCCCCTAGTTCTGTTGAGCATAGGTCACACTACGTCCCATGCATAGTGAGCGTCATCTCATTCAATTCCACCGACGCGTGGGAAGGCCTATGTCCACAAAACCGGCAGGTATGCAAACTCCAAGAGCACCAAAATAATGTGCACAATGTGGTGCAAGGGCACCTTGGCCTCTCCAAGGTGCCCTTGCATCCCCCCCTGCGATTGTATGTGCGATAATGGCACGGCAGAGGACTCAGCTTACCTGCAAGCTTACTGAAGCGGAAAAAATACACTGAGAACTGCGTGGGGCTCCTCATTTGTTACTTCATATTACCTGCTTGGGCTTTAGGCCCATCGAGTACCCGTCACATGCTTTGATACTGATACATTGATTGGGCTTGTCTTTTATCTTCCTGTTCTGTATCGGGGGTCTACCAACCTGGAAAACCTGGAAAAGTCAAAGAATTTCTGAAATACATGGCCAAATCATGGAAAATGACAGCAGCTCTGTTGGGCCATCACAAAAATAAGCTTTATTATCTATCAAAGCTTAAAAAGTCTCTCTTCCAACTGTAACTGCAGTGAGCTTCCTAGAAGAGGTGTGAAAAAAAAAGACAGTGCATAACTGTTGCTTCTTAGTGTAAACGCGAAAGGATATACTGACCCATGTAACACAAAGTTTGCTGACGGTTCGGCACCCGATATGGGAGAGAGCCTTGTTCACAATAAACACCATAAGAAAGGCACAGCATACTTAAGGGGGCACATGGGTCTTGAAAGCGATAAAATAGCGAAAAAACTGATTTTTCAATTTTGTTGGTATTGCATTCAGGACATCTTCCTGCACGTTCTCACAAAATTCAAGGCTTGGAGAATGTATAGTTTTGCCAGGAGAGAGTATTTACTTCACGAACTATCTAGTTTCACTCACAGGAAATGACCAACTGTCGATGCAGAGGGGGAGAGGGGGTTTTCAGTAGCCTTTCAGGCAGCTGCTAAGCGGAGCCAGAGAAGAAAGCCCCACCCAGATTATTCTCCAGGCGCCTTCTGAGCCACTGGCAGTTGTAATTGTGCTCATCCAAAAGATAAAGAGCTTTTTTTCACATGGTCACTAGTTTTCCCATTTTTCTCAGAACACTTTTTTTTGGGTTGTCTCCACTTTTCTGGGGACTGTTGTTACCCTTCTAATCACCCAATTCTAATAGGATTTTTTTTATCTGATAGCTAGGCTTCCAAAGAGTGCAAGATGCTTGTAGTGCAATGTTTCTTACCGTGAAAAATTTTGAAAATCTGGGTAAACAATAGACAGCGAATTCATGTTTCAAGTTTAAGGTTTTAACTTTTGTAACTTTGGATAAAATAAGTGTAGGACCATGAAATTATGCTTCGTGCATTCATTGAGCATTCAGGAATATATAAATGTAACCTATAGCTTTCTTATTGCAATACATTTTTTGCCAGTCATCCCAGAAGTAAAAAACAGAAAAAGCTGTATAATGTTTTTTCTGCACGAGATACACAAAAACTAGTTGAATATTTATTATCAGCACATTAAACTACATATTACCTGCATGTTTCATTATTCTAGCAGCAGTTGCAATAGATATTTCACACAAGGCCCATGTGCCCCCTTAAGTACTCCTAAATATGTCATGTAAGCAGCGAGAGTACATTGTCAGAAGCGTCCCATCACTCTTGTTCAGCGTATGTACAGTTGTCTGTATCTAGATTCCAGGTGCAGGCATGATACAAGCTTCTTTTAGATGCGGAGCATTTTAGAGTCGCACCTCGCGAATCCGGCGTTGGTGGTGGTGTCTACACCCCTACTGTGCATGCTTGCGTCTCGTGCCAACTGTCGCTCTTCCCTCCCCCTCTGTCTTGCATTGCAAGGCCGATGTAGGCAGCATCTGTTTGTAAAAACTGGCTGCTCCCGCTGCACAACTGTTCACTGGCCACCGTATATACAGTTGAACACGGAATATTGAACCCACATATATCAAATTTTCGGGTATATCGAACTCTTAAGTTTTTCCTTCTGAAATTCCTTTGTAAGAGTATAGAAATTCGCACGATTATGTCGAACGATATTTTTACCTGCCATTCAGCTATATTGAACTCCACGCGAGCTGGAAGGTGCGCGTTGACACTCGCAGTGCCCGGCAACCTCCGCCAAAACCCTAAACGCTCGTGGCACGAGGGCTCGGACTGCACAATCTCTAGCTTGCAAACCGACATTTCTTTTTTTTCTCTTTCTCATGCTTTCTCCGCGTACCTGTCGACTCGGAGAGCAGGAACAAAAGAGCCAACGTCCTCCTCCTTTTGCCTTCTCTTTTATTTTTTGTTGCTGTTTTGAAAGTTTCGATCAGCTAACCACAGCTCGCGCTTTTTGGTGTTGCCCTCTTAGGTGGTAATCACCTTGCGAGTGTTTTTTTGCATCCGTTGTCGCATCGCCTACGTACCATCGCATGCGCAGCATTTCTCTCTTGAGTTCATGGTGTACAACGCCGCTGTGGACTCTTTGAATTGTCCAGCATCAAGAAGCGCAAGACCCTTGACTTTGTAACGAAGTTGAAGGCTA